ATGACAACCCAGCAACTAAAAATACTATGGTCGAAAATATTGAAGTCTTTTTTTCACTAATGGCATACCTTGTAGATATGATCTTAATTACCGCGCACATAAAACAAATAGCATTAAAACCTTTATGAAGTTGTTTTTATTACATTCACTAACATACCAACATTTAAAAAATATAACCCCACTTAGACAATTACAAATATTGCATTTACTATATTCAGGTAAGTATTGAAGACATTGTATTCAACCAGACTCCAACAAATAGTATTCACATCACCACGTTGAACCGGGTTATGTAGATGGTGGCAAACTTGATTTTGCAATTGCAATATTAAATTATTGTGTATATTTAGTAGTTCAGTAAAAGGCATGTTCCAGAGAAGTTGCTATTACAACAGAACCCATACGATACAGTAATATTGTTGTTCTGCATTTGGCACTTAAACTTGACAAACATGGGGTGTGTTCTGGGTTGAGAACAGATCAAGTTTCACCCAATATAGCATGGCTCATAACATTTTGTAGCCAATATTCATTCAAACAGTTTGATTCTAATATAATGATCAGTTTAATTATATTTTACTGTTCTCATAAGCTGCTGCTTTAATGTAGCTTCTATGTGAAAATAGGTTACCTATTTCCGCTGAGTGTTGAATAATACCAACAGCAATTGTGGGAGATATAGTGTATTGAAAAGAATGCTCTCAGAGTAAAAGTTTCAATTCATTTCATACTAAACTAATGGAATTTCTTGAAATCAACTGTAATAATATTTACATATCTTGAAATGAAATTGTAAGGAGTAAAATGAAATAAAGAGTTCTTGCCACACTCAATCCCTATCTTAAATGATATAACACTAGAATTCACAACGAAAATATTGAGTTTAAAAGAGTTCATGCAGTATAGTTAAATTACAAAGTGATCACAAAAATACTACAAAGTATGCAAGAAATCAGTACTGTGATCATATTGACTGATGAGTAGCACAGGTTGATAAAATCTTGTAATGCACAACTGTATTTTTGTGATAACTTATTATTATATATTGTTTCAAGCTTGTACTGGTACTAATAATTTAATAAGGAATAACAGCCCAAAATTGCAGCGAAAAACATTTTACTCTGTGCAAATATTTGTGCTTAGAGACAGAATTCTACTTTCATCATAGACCATGTGTGTCCGATGAAAACAAAACAATGAGTTCACCATGTAAAATGCAAGTGTCAATCAAATGCAAATACTGGTCTTTCTATTAATTGGTACATTCTATTGTTTTCAGTTCTGGATATATAATAATATGAGGTTATTACGAGGACACCTTAAAGTATGCACGAAGACAGTACATCGGGAGTATCGACCAACACGCAGTGGAGGTCGATGCGACGTTGTACTGTCTGAGTGCATACTTTGAGGTATCTTCATAATAACCTTATTATTATACATATTTCCTTCCAAGAATACAAAATCCAAAATGTTTAGAACAGAATCAGCGAACTTGGAGTCTGGTTAAACCCTGGTTAAAGCCATGTTTGGTTTTATTATTATTATTAGAGGACGCTTACGCGCGTAATCATTCCAATATTTGGAATTCGCATTTCCTAATATAGTATGATGAAAATACCCTGTAAAATACTGAAAGATTACAGCACGCTGTAACTTATGGCGTTACAGTGACAGATGTATAATAATACCTATTAAAGATTTATAATAAGGTTATTACGAGGATACCTCAAAGTATGCAGTCAGACAGTACACCGCCCATTGACCTCCGCTGCACGCCGGTCAATACCCAAGGCTGTACTATCTTCGTGTATACTCATAATAACCTCATATTATAAGACTAGGTTATTTATTCTTGTGATACAGTATTCAAACATGTGCAGTCAACTGTGGACATGGTGAAATATCATATATTCATGTGATAATTAAATGTATCATACATATAATCATATAATGAAAATGAATCTGACATTACATAAAATAATGTACTCACATCAAAAGTGTTTGGCTTACAAAAAGCAGTAAATAGCAATATTAAAATTCATTTCACATATCTGAGAAATACAGCATGTCCAAATATGATACAATACCATAAAATTTATTCCAATGAAAATATTCTCCATATAAGGCAATGCAATTACTCCTACAGAATCATTACATTATTGTGTTCTGTGTGCTTAACTTTAAGGTAATTAATGAAAAATTTGTCACTGAGGCAGAGTGGAACATTTCATTCAACAGTAATATTACATAATTGGGTTGAATCTGTAAAATATAAGTATACTTCTTAAAATGTCACACAAAATAAATCAGAATATATTTCATTAAAATCACAATGCATGTTTGTTGAAGTACTATAATATCTGTATTAGAAGCCTCTGCTATAGGAGCATCTACACACATGAAAAATTGTGAATTTTATAGTTCTGAATTATTTGGGATGTGACTCCTAATACAGATTTTACGGTAATAAGAGAAAAAAATGTACAAAAAGTACAAGAAACATTATGATTAGTGAAACAGACCCAATGTTTACACAGTGATTTACAAAATAATAAACCTGTCCCCTCAGAAAACTACAGGTATGACATGAAAACTGAAATTAAAACTTTATTAATAATACAGTTATCAATATTGTCAAGGTACCATAGAACAGTAAGCTAAGGGGTTTGTTTTACAAAAAGATCAACCTAAGTATTCCACTTAAATACAAAAAGTAATTTTCAGCATTATCATATTGACAACTGCTCAATGCAAGGAATGGTAAATTTGAAATCATACATGTAGTCCAAAATTCAGCTTAAATACAGAAAAAAATACCCCCAAATAGCAAAATTTGCATTCAAATTATGGACAAAATGAAGAGGTAAAAAGTTGATTGTTTGAAAAAAAAAAAAATCACATACAATTCAAAGATAAAACACAAGTCAAAGAACAATTTAGACAGCAATATTTTTGTTTTTATTAAGCATTAATAAAAACACTCATTTTCGACATTAAATTCAGGTAAATTGTTTTTAGATTAAACAATTGAATGTTCAGATAATACCGTAGTATACAAATGACACAAGAATATAATGACTAAAAATCTGAGCATCATAACATAAGAAAAATATGGACATGCACTCACAGAAAATAAATATCAAAAATGATTCAAGTTAAAATAATATCTTGATTAAAACAATGCTGGTACATAAATTATACTAAAGTAAAGCAGATAGGATTTAAGACAGGTTGTTCTATGAACTGACAGTGCTTCAAAAGCTTAGTTTATATAGTGCTACATTCACTCATTATTTGTGAACACATTAAAAGGTATCAAAGTTTATAGCAGCTACTACACATGACAAATGAACATCTCCCTTGTATTCAAGTTTGGTTATACACACATGTACGGTAGGTGAAGAAATGGTTTAAATATTACAGCATCAAGCACTACACCAAATTTGATTCATTAGAAGCGTATATCTATGGAGCATGCAAGTCAATTGTATTTTAGTGGGATTTATGTGTACTCCCAACTCATTTATGTTTTTAGTACATGTGCTTCTAATAGGGAAAATATGGTAGTGGGAGTGACATTGGATTGAAGGAAAAGTTGGCTAGAATATATGAACCAATACATTGTACAATGTACTAGTTGTAGTAAATACATCAACATTGATATAACAACCCTACCGTGAACCTAGCCACAGACGAGCAGAAAACAAACTTACACAATTTACACATAGGATATCATTAGCCCACTAGGACACCAAGGAAGTACTGTAATATATTTCTACAAGTGGTGTTTCTATATCCTTGTTTGATTCTGAGGGAGAAACACTTGTTAACCTTGCCATTACTAAGCTTAAATACATGCAGACAGTAATTTATTTAATGTCGCATGTGGATAAGTAATGACCAGAAATAAACAAATCAATTCGTTATTAATATAAATCTCTCATTTTTAATTTAAAATTGTTACCCAACAGAGAAACAAAATTCCCAGGATGTTCTCACCTGTAGCAAAATTTTAACCTACTGATGAAAAATATGTGTGAACAAACCAGGTCTCAACTAGGGTTTAGTTTATCTCAGAATCAGGCAGCTAGACTTGTATGGCTATACTGTAAAATGACTAATTTTCACTGGTTTTAAATTTCACTGATTTACCATTTCACGCATATTCAGTGGGTTTTCAATTCACGGTTTTACCATTTAGATAATGTATTCTATGCTAAATTTTACATATTCACTGGGTTTTAATTTAGCGCATTTTCCAGTTAGCGAAATAAGCAAAATTAAAACTCAGTGACTAATTAATCCTTTTACACTAGTCACAAGTTAGTCAGTTCATTTATGAGTACAGTTACAAATTTTATTGATAAAACAAATACTTGTTTAGTACTTTAATACTATTATGGGTCAGTAAAAATCCATTAAATTCAGGGTGATACAGGGTATATGCATACTTCAGTTATTTTCATCAACCCACATAAAATTGAGTCAAAATTATTTTCTTTGTAAATATTAAATTAATCCTTCTTGTATTTTATCTATTGCCTTACATAACAAGCAAGACTAAAATTTACATAAATAAAGATTATACTAATGAGGCAGGATACTGAATAGGTTCATATTTCAAAAATACAAGTATGCTGTGAATTAATCAGTATCAATCTCATTACGTACACTTATTTAAAAAAACATACAAAAAGTAAATATCAAACTCCTCTCAACTGCCTACCAGCCCAACCCAATTTAAAAAGTTTAGAATGTCTTTGTCTTATTAGAAACCATTCTGTAATTCAGGTAGGTCAACTTATTACATTCAGGGATTGCGTTAACCCCATATTTTGCTTCCCGGACTCCAATTATTGAAGGGGGACCCAGTTTTTCAGGCAAGCTGGGGTCCAATCTCTATGAAAGTTATCCAGGGTCAAATTTCAATTTCTTAAAATTTGGTAAGTGGGACTCGTCTTGCCGAGACACTAGCGCAAACCCTGTACATTGTGCGTTCAGACATCTAATGTACAAAGTGCTGTGGAAGGCTTCTCGATATTACCTGGATGGAATTTCTTGACTTTCTTTTTCTTATCCTGGAAAACAAATTGATTCAAAAGACAGTACAATTAGTCAAATCATGATGGGTTTTTGATGTTATAAGGTTCACATATCCATAGTGAACAGCCTGATTTAAGGTATCCAAAATAAAGAATGCAGAACTTGAAAGTGAGGTGAAATTTTCTACCTGCTCCTCTGAATACATTTTTCTCATCTCTTCTTGCAATTTTGCCAATATATGAAGATTAGGTCTGTTTTTCTTGCCATGCTGCTGCAGTTCCATTACACTCTGCTCAGCTTGTTGTTTCTCTTTATCCAACAGACATACCCCTTTCCCATACATTCTAATTAAAGAACCCCAGCAATGTATCTGAGGGTGCAGTTTCTGAAGGAAGGATTGAATTCAATGTTAACATTTATGTGTTCAAATTTAACAGGTATGCTTTAATGTTAAATGTTAACAGCTATATGTTCTATGTTAATTGTGAGGTGTCCAATATTAATAATAATAACTGAGTGTTCAATG